CAGTCCTGGAGTCTGGAGAAGGCTCAGATGAGGGCTCTGCGTCGGAGGCAGAGGGCACCAGAGCCCTATGCCAGTTATCAGCTGCATTCAGAGTCAGACATTAGTGAGGCAGAAGAACAGCTGGAGCCTGTTCCCAGTGTGCGCAATGCACAGTTGCCAAATGAAGGGAACAGCTAAAGAACAGGGATCGACTTGGGAATAAGGCCACAGATGGATGATGAATAGCCCCTCCCAGATGGAATAAAAGAGGAGCGAAAGGGGAGTGGAGTTTGCAGGAGGAAATTAGTTCGCTTCATTGGTTCGTGACTCTCCGAGACTCCTTGCTAAGTTTTGCAGATCTCGGCCTGGCAGATCTCCAAGCCAGATAAGGTCTGTGACTGTAAATCCTCCCTCAAAAGACTTTGCTGGATGTGAATGAGCAGAATTCACAGCAAATTAATAATAGGTTTTTTGCCTGGACAAGAAGTTTGCGTCAGGCTCTTGGTAAGCCTCGATCAGAACAAAGATACACTATCATTTAGAGGACTTTCCTGGCCATAATTTGCGGGGGGGGGCGGGGGGGGCAGAGCAAGGGATTTTTGAAACGGAAGCTAGATCCACATCTACACAAACACAACCAACGAGGGATGGACCATTCACCCAACCCCTTGGTTTCCAACAAGGTTACTCCTATCTCACCTTTGCTCTCGGTCCTCTTCTAAGGTTGTCTCTTCAGTCCCTTGGTCTGTGGCCTCCGTGGCGGTTTCCTCGTGGGGCAGGATTGCTTCCGTGGCCAGATCTCGCTGGGGGTCTTGTTGAGGCTGCTTTTCTTTGGTGGACTTCTTGGACTGCCCAGCATGGGCCCTCGGCATGGTGCCCAGGTGGCTGTAAGCGTCACAAGACTGGGCATAGTGAGAGGGACTTAGGGGGAAGACTTCTAGGTCATCCTGAGCCCTTTCAAGGGGTCTACTTGTTCCTTGAAGACACTTCTGTTCTACCTGCTTCGGTTTCTCCTTTGTTCCTGGGCTGGAGATCTCTCCAGGTTCAAGGCAACGCTGGGAGGACTTCTCAGCTTGGACCATCACTTCTGGACCAACGTTGACTATAGAAGAGGACCTCTCTTTCTTGTTGGGTTCTGCTCCTTCTCCTGGAGAACCTGCCTGCGGAGCAAGTACCCTTGCCACGTCTCCAAGTTCCGTGGCCTTCGGCAACGTTGGCCCCGAGGCCTTCTCTGCCCCACGGCTCTCAACCTTCTGTCTTGTGCTGCTCCTGGGCATGGTGCCCATGTGGGTGAACATGTGGCTGGAGCAGGCATAATGTGATGGGCTTTTGGGCCCAGCCCCCAAGTCGTCTTGGGTAATCTCAAAGCTGAAGGTCAGGAAGCCCTTGGAGGAGAGCGACCCCCCTGCGTGGGTCTCGGCGAGTCGGGGGGCTACGGAGCCTTTGCGGAAGCCGAAGCTGCGAGGAATGCTACTCAGGCTCCCAAACCCTTTGAGCTTCAGAAATTCTGAAATCAAAACAAGAAAGGGGGTCATTGACTTCCCAGGAACGACNTTATAAGAACGGTCGTAAGTGGAGGAGAGCTGTGAAGGAGAGCTGTGGTGTCAACTCCAGCTAATGTCTTTTCATTCTCCTCCACCACCAACACCACCGCACTTCCCCGCTCCTTGCTGGGAGCTATTTGGCTTTAGGCAAACAAAGCAGGAACAATTAAAAGACAGAGCGACCTACGGAAAGTTTGGATATGCTCCCGGAGGGGTTTCCGTTCCATGCCAAACAACAAGCGCGAATGTAACCTTTGAAACGTAGAATATTGCAAAAGAAAACTGGGTCTCCAAATCCACAAGGCGAAAGAGCCACCATCTTATCCCTGCTCCAGAATTATAACACACCATCCAATTTTCTTGCCCATGCCACCTGCTAGCCACAAGGTGCCAAAAACCCCAGGGTGGGGGGATAAAGATATAAATGGCAAACAAGGATTTGCACGACACGATGAACCAGATCTAGTGAAAAATCCAGTGGCTTTATTCCCATCACATGCTAAGTTTGGTTAGGGGTTTCGGTTTTTTTTAGGAAGGATTAAACCGGTCCACCTGTCCAGTTTTGGTGCCCAGGAATTGTTCAGAACCTTTAAATGGAATCATTCAGTAACCAACTTTGTGCAAACACAGCTCAACGGAAAGAGACAACATTTATTTCTCAAAATCGCCGCAAGGTGTTTGTTGTCTTTCTTACCCCCCTCCTTTTTTTTTTTTAATCTTCATTGCAAGATTTATCCAAAGTTTACAGAAAGAGTTTGTGTATATGGAAGACGAATTTCCAATAACCGAGCAAAGATGAAAACATTGGGGGGGGGGTAAAGTAAATGCCGTATTTTTCAAAGTATCAAATGCAATTTTCCACCCCCGAAAGTGGGTGGAAAGTATGTGAGTCTTATACAATGAATGTTGCCGAAGCCACGCCCACCCGTCGGCCCCCACACTTTGGCCTCTGCCTCCCAGCAATTTGCCGCCTTGCAGCAAACAGCAAACAGCCTGGTCGGCTTCAGCACAACCTGATTAGCACGAGCAGCTGATTGGCGCTTGGATCACCCTCCCAAAGATCAGCTGTTTCAGGCTGCAGGGATTGCCATCACCTATTGCCGCATTCGTGCACCCCATTTTCAGCCTCTGTATCTTATTTTTGGCCTCCGAGTGCCCCATTTATGGCCTCCGCGCACCCTGTTTTCTGCCCATTCTGATCCCCACAGCCCGGCTGAAAATGTGGTGCAAGGAGGCTGAAAACGGGATGCGGAGTCCAAAAATAGGGTTTGTGGAAGTGGCAATAGGTGGTCCCTGCAGCCTGAAACAGCTGATTGTGGGGAGGATGATCCAACTGACAATCAGCTGCTTGTGCTAATCAGGCTGTGCTGAAGCTGAAACTGGCTGTTTGCTACTTGCTGCAAGGAGGCAAATTGTTGGGAGGCAGGTGCATATTTTTGTTCTCTTGTTTTCCTCCCCAAAAGCTAGGTGCATCTTATACTTTGGAGCATCTTATACTCTGAAAAATACGGTATTTTCAAGGATGCAAGACAACCAGTTGAGAATTCCAAGGAACTTGGAGGACGCCAACCAGAATAAGACGGGTCTAGAACGGCTATCTAGATCAGATCTCGCTGTTTGGAACCCAAATGTCTTTGCAAATGTCTACGGAGAGCTCTTCCCCAGAAGATGGACCCCAATCAGAGAAGGAACCGTCACTTACCCCAGGCAGTGTCTTCTGTTCATGGAGGGCACTCTGAGCTTTTAGCGCTGAGTCCCGGGCACAGTATGTAAGAAAGGCACAACCTGGAAAGAAGGAAAGAGGAATGAAAAGGGGCATATAAAATCGAATAGAATAACAGAGTTGGAAGGAACCTTGGAGGTCTTCTAGTCCAACTCCTTGCTTGGGCAGGAAAACCCTACACCACTTCAGACAAATGGTTATCCAACCTCTTCTTTAAAACGTCCATTGTTGGAGAATCCACAACTTCTGGAGGCAAGTTGTTCCACAGATTAATTGTTCTCACTGTCAGGATATTTCTCCTTCATTCTAGGTTGCTCCTCTCCTTGATTAGTTCCCATCCATTTGTTTCTTCTCCTGCCCTCAGGTGCTTTGGAGAATAGCTTGACTCCCTCTTCTTTGTGGCAACCCCTGAGATATTGGAAGGCTGCTATCTTGTCTCCCCTAGTCCTTCTTTTCATTAAACTAGACCTNGGGGAAGGAATGAGGGAGGGATGAGAGGGTGGGGAAGGAAGGAAGGAGAGGGAGGGGAAGGAAAAAAGGTAGGTAGGAGAAAGAAGGAAGGAAGGAGAAAGGAGAAAGAAGGAAGGAGAGGGAGGGGAAGGAAGGAAAGGAAGGAGGGAAGGAGAAAGAAGGAAGAAATGAAGAAGAAAGAAGGAAGGAAAAGAAGAAAGGAGAGGGAGGGGAAGGAAGGTAGGAGAAAGAAGGAGGGAAGGAAGGAGAAAGAAGAAAGAAGGAAGGAGAGGGAGGGGAAGGAAGGGAAGGAAGGAATGAGAAAGAAGGAAGTAGAGGAAGGAAGGAAGGAGAAAGTAGGAAGGACGGAGGGAAGGAGAAGGAAGGAAGGAAGTTAGTTTACCCTACTGGTTCACCCTGACGCAGATAGAAGCCACAGAAGACACGTATTTGACAGATAAACAGAATCAACAAGACTCTTCGTTAAATGAAGGGTGGGATTTCATTGAATGGCTCAAGCTTGGCTTTTAAAGAGAGAAGCAAAGTTGGGTTTTCTTTTCGGTTGGCAAAGCTTCCCCTACTGATAAACAACTAGAAAGAGGACTGCTTCTGCTTCTTCTGGTGCGGATGGCGAAGAGGATGGCCATTTATTGATAAGAGAAGTGCAAATTAAATCGGAGTTCGGGATATATAAAACGAGGGAAGGAGCTGACCACGAAGCTCTGAAAATGCTACAGTTTACAAATGTGTAAAGAACGGCCTGATTCCCTCTGCCAAATGGCATATTATTTTCTAAAGAAAGGGCAGGGCCAGCCAACTTCCTTTATCCCTCCGTCTGCCAGCAAGAAACATGATATTCATATATATTCATTTTAATGACAGGCTTTCTCCTTTTTTTTATCCCTATTGAGCAAGAAGCAGAAATTCACCTGTCGGCTTGTTTGTTTCTCACCCAGTGAAATCTGGGTTCATCCCCCCTCCCTGATTTTCACTGCTTTATCTATTTCCCGATCTCCTTCCATCACACCCACAGGCCTAATTATTATTATTTTTTTAAAAGCTACCTTTTAAAAAAAATATTATTTTAAAGAACATCCCCGTCCATCTACCTTGGCCATGATAGAAAACAAAGGTGAATCTTCTTCCTGACTCTTACGTATTCTGCATCGCCAACCCAAC